TACATGACTTTTTTTAGACTAAATAAATAGCACAATAAATTTTTAAGCAATAATTTGGGGAAAAAATGCTGGATATGCCAAAATGATTCAAGTTTAAACTCATATATGCAAATTTATATTAATTTTTAAATAAATCAGTTAGAAGGTTCAATTAAAAACAACAACAACAACAACAACAACAACAAAAAATAAAACACTTTTTTTTTTAATTGAATTTTTATGTAATGATTTTATCATGACCATAATTAATTTATGGTTCAGCCTTAGTTCAATTCAAGCCACAGACACGAATCCCTTGTGGTAAGAGAACTGAAAGGGACTTTGTAAATATAGCAATATTATTTAAAAAATGTTGATAAATTATCAAAGTATTTTTCAATGGATTTAAATTTTTTTTTTTTAAACTGTCAAAAAAGCAATTCCACACTGTTGTGGTAAGTCAGTTTTATTAGCTACCTTGACGTTGGCCAATGAATTGTCTTCTTTCCGCTCCAACACGTGCACTTTTTGATCAAAAAATTCTACGACATAAATATACCTATAAAAGAGAGAACGTTAAAATAAAGACATTCAGATATTTGAAACATATGTAACCGTGTGCAAGGGCCTCGTGATCATTCTTACCTTTTGTCTGGTGACATGTTGATTCCATTTGCAAAGAAATAACCCTCAGAGACCACTTTTACCTCCTCAGTACTATAGTACACAACATTAGCCCACGTCAGAGGCAGTAAAGGCTCCACAAATACTTTCAGGATTTCTTGGTTAAAATAGTGATCATTTGTTGCATAGAAGCTATCCACTCCCACTGCAACAATATCATTTACGCTAGAATAGAAAGGAAACAAAAAATGTTTTGTCATGTTATTATACATTAACATGCGCATGATTTGTATGGAACTATATTATGACATGAGATGGTCGCACAAATATTGTTTAAGGCTGACTATTCAGTAAATCTCAAATGTCATTTATAACAGAAATTTGTCATATTACTTTACCTGTAGAGAAGTTCATGTTTAATGGTTTTCAGGTGCTCTAGGGCACGGTCCTCCTCCACAAACTTGAATAGCTCCACTTGGCTTTTTTGTTGAGGATGATTGACAACAAACAGGTAGACTGTGCTATCTGGAAAAAACAATAAGAAAGGCAGAGAACAACAATAATGTCTATAAGGCATGTGTGTGTGTGTGACTGTGTCAAAGTTGAGGAGCATGCAGAACTTGAAATTAAATAAAAAGAAAATTATCACTAGGCTTTGCAAACACACTCATGAAAAGCCTGGCTATTCTTACTGTACTTACATGGTACCACCTGTAAGTATCACAGCAGGTTTGACCACATGCTTGGCAAGCACACACAAGCAAAAGAAAAAAGTAAACATTGTCCTCAGTGCCCTAAGTTGAGCAATAAATTGCAAAGTTTACTCAAATCGAGGACATCAGACTTTTTGCCTTCCAGATGCCATTCTGTGGACACTTGCATGCGATGTGTGCAAACGCATATGAACTGTAGGGTTGTTTACCACTTGGATCGATGTATACACTGATGCCATGAGGGTTGAAAGAGTCAAGATCAAAGTTCCTTGGCATGCGGAGCTCTACTGGTTTCATCTGAGAATCCTGTAGATCAAGCAGAAATATCTTTCCAGGCACATCTGAGGAAGGCAGTCCAGGAAACTTCAGACCCTGCACACACAAAGCATGAAAAATACTGTAATTATACAAAGTGTAATAACACTAGCTACATTATAAATTCCTGATGTTATTAACATTCTTATTACACACGATTGCTATGGGCTTTAAGACTGTTAACCTAAGAGGTGGAGATTTGGCTGCTTTACAGCAAAAACAACTTACAGTGCTGATAAGGGCAAGCCCGTTTTCCAGGATCGTTATATCCTCCGATCCATAATCTAAAAGCACAATATTCACATATTGTTAATTTTTCTGGTTTCTAGTCTGCATCAAAGTATCGTCTGCATTTTCTTGCATGTTGGCTTACCCAGATTTTTGAGTGCAACACAGTTGGGGAGGTGTTTCGGGACGATCTCTCTAGTAGCAAGGCACCTTTTCCTGCAGAGTTTGCATAAAAAAAAGTTCTTTTGAAACAGTCCGAGCGCACAAAAGTGCTTCGACATGAAGGCTATCTGTATTACCTGAGGTTGATAAATCTCTCTCCTAACAGCACCGACAAGGCAGCTACAAAAAGTGAAATGTATGCCAGCTTTCCCATTTTGAAATCTGGAGGAGGAAAGGTTTTCAAACGGACTTAAAAACTGCAACAGCGGGGCGTTCCCGAAATGCTGCATTCAGGACAATCCGAAATACCGCTTCTTACCATGTGAAATAAGAAATGCATCGCTTATATATATATCGCATTGTGAATCTCTAAATTTGATAAACACGTAAATTTGCTGTAGATCCAAAGAGTTGGCATCTAAAAGACAGATCTATGTTGTTTGTGCGCATGAAAGTTGGGTATTTTGAAAGTTGACAGATGTTGCTTCACTGCATGTTTTGCCCTTAGTGGACAGTGAAGTACACACAGCCTGCAGGTTTGTTCCTAATATTCTAAACACATTCTACCAGCAGAGTTGCCTCATGATTAACATTTGGCCTCTTGACTCTGCACATGCAATGGAGTCACCTTTGTGTGTAATATGTACCTTTGTGAGCCCTCTGGGAACATCCAGTGCACCTGTATGGGATTATCTTTTAGTAAATTTCACTTTCTGTAAGGGGATATGTACTCACTGGTCACTTCATTAGATACACATTTTTAACCCCTTGTTAACAGCTAATGAGCAAGTCACATGGAAGCAACTCAGTGCGTTTAGAAATGTAGACCTGGTAAAGATGACCTGCTGAAGTTGAAACGGAGCATCAGAATGATGGAGAAAGGTGATCTAAGTGGCTGAAAGCGGCATGGTTTTTGGTGCTGGCCTGATTATTTCACTAACTGCTGGGATTTTCCCACACAACCATCGCTAGAGTTTACAGAGGATGGTTTGTAAAAGAGAAACTATCCAGTGAGGAGCAGTTCTTTGGGTGAAAATGGTCAGAGGAGAATGTCTCAAATAAACGCCTGTTTCAGCCAAAGTATGCAGAAGAGCATTTCTCAACACACAGCATGTTGAAGACTGAAGCACATGGGCTAAATCTACACTACTGGCTGCCACGCCTGTGAGCTAAGAAGAGGTGCAGTCCCAAGAAGTAATTTCCATCACCGAAATTGCTGAATGCACGGGGGAAGGTTTAAAAAGTGTATTGACATTAAAAATGTCTTTTTCAAGAAAGATCTGGCCAAGATTGCAGTAGAAATTGCAACAAGTATAACCCCACCATTCTGCAAAGATATCTTATGAGCCAAAAGAAGATTGGACTGATTGTAATGCAGCTACAAACACACAGAGTGAGGAAGATTAAACAGATCGTTCTTTATTTTATATATAAACTCTTCATAAATCCTGCTGACTACAGTCTATTTACTAAAATATGCTAAATGATTACACATAAAAAAACACAATTTCTGGCAGTTAATCAGTTGTTGGTATAACACATGAAACTGAAAAGAATATGGCATTATCAACATGAAAGCATGGATCCATCCTGCCTTGTATGGGCGGTTCAGGCTGCTGCTGGTGTAAGGGTGTGGGGGATGTTTGCTTGGCACATTTCAAGTCATTGTTTAACTGGCACAGCCTACCTGACCATGCCCATCCCTTTATGACCACAGCGTGCCCATCTTCTGATGGCTGCTTCCAGCCGGATAACGTGCCGTGCCACAAAGTTCAAACCATGCCGAACAGTTTCTTGAACATGACAATGAGTCCATTGTACTCACGTGGCCTCCACAGTCACCAGATCTCAAATGAATAAGCAACTTAATGTGACGGAATGGGAGATTCTCATCGCGGATGTGCAGCCAACAAATCTGCAGCAATTGCGTGATACTGTCACGTCAACACAAAGCAAAAATCTCTGAGGAATGTTTCCAGTACCTTAATGAATCTATGCCATATAGAATTTTAAGACAAAAAAGGGCTCAACCCAGAACAAGCAAGATGTACCTAATGAAGTGGCCGGTGACTATGCAAGTCATGCTGACTCACTCTCAGGTTTGCTGCTGTTGGTTACAGCATGATCAGGGCTGTGAATGCAGGTCCTTCCCACGTTTTAGACAGAATTAAAAACAAGCAAGCAAACACACAGAAGTCTTAATTAACAGTAATGTGAATATGAGTTGTGTATAATTATGGCATTGGATAGTTTTATTAATGTTTCTTAAGGTCAGCTATTCAATAAATCTCATATATAGCTTTTAGCAGGTTTGTAGTAGGTAAAGGGAAGTAGAGAAGTGTTTTTATGGTTTTCAGGTCCACGGGGGAAGTGGTGGCCTCCGAGCAGCCTGAGGATAGTTTGGGCCTGCTGTGAAGTGTCAGTTTAACTAGTGACATAGCAAAAAGGAGCAAGTTGACAGACCCCTCTGAATTCATAAATCAGGTGTGACTCTCTTTCTCCATGCTCCCTGCACTAATGGCTTGCTAAACTTCTCTCTTCCTGGCCTTTGAAAAATCTGCACTCACACCACAGTTTGGAGACTGTTTGCTTTTGTAATCTGGACAACCTTCCTTCCAATGCAAGGTTTCAGCATTAGGCTGTTTTTGAACCAGTAGTGAAGATAACCATTTAAAAGCCTTCTATCGCCACTCATTCACATTTTCAGTATAACTGGACTGAAAAAAAGGACTATTTCTCTATTTTTCTTTCTTTCTTTTTTTAAAATAACAGCTACCCAAACTATGACTAAAGTGACTTCTTTTAGCCACAATAATCATATATTAAAAATCAGATATTGCCAGTTATAAAAACATGGGGTTAGCTTCCAAAATTAGCAGCCTGGTGATGTTTTTTTCTTTTTTTTTCATGAACAGAATGGCCTACGATAGTCAGAAATCCCAGCCTAATTCATTGTTTTATTCCACGCTTGCACTGGGGCGTGGTCCTCGACAAGCTCGAACAGCTCTACCTGGTTCTGAGAATTTTATCTGACAAATGATAAGAAAAATATAATATGGAAATAATCTCAAGGGGTGTGTGTGAGGGATTACATATGTATTCATTTGTTCTCTCCCACACAGAGGTTGCCGTCAGGTATTTCGAACCCTTACATTCTAAAAACACACCTATATCCACTAGTCCATCTAAAGGAAACCTAATATTAGGTGTAAATATTCATTCAAGTAAACTTTTCTTGCAGTAAACAATGACTATGGTGTTTCCATTCATTGACACATACCTACATGACCAGCCTGATGTACTGGTGTATATTCAATAACATGTAGGGCCTGCAAAACCCTGTTTAAATTGTTTATTTTTGAAGTTGTTTTCTGTAGGTGATGACCCCTCCCAACATAAAACAAAAAAGTTACAAAATTGTCTATAATCAAAATCATGTGTAAGAGACTTCATAAAAAACAAACATGAACACATACATACACATACAGAAGTGAAGTAACATAAAATTGGCAAACTATTGACCCTGTGAAACTCAGCATTGGGTGCATGCAACCTGACAGTAACTGTAGAATATCTACAAAAAGTCCAATTAAAGAACGATAGCGTCTAACAACTTCAAAACACCTACAACTCCTGCACGTTACATCGTGTGCGACCAGCGAGCGCTGTTGGGTGGGGCGCGCCAGATTCCTGACTCTTGTTTCGTGAAGTCGTGTCAAAGGTTCACAGTGTAATACAGCAGGATCCCCGTCAAACAGTTTCAAGAGCAAGACTGTATATTTGAAACATACAAAATAAATTTTTATTATCCATTCTCTTCAGGTCTACATCTCATTAGGATTTCTAGACAATAGCATTGTCAAGTAACACACCCAAATTAATTTCTAATAATTCTGACAGGTGCAACAATACATTTCTGTCAAGTCCAGGTGTCAAAATAGAACTGAATGTGAAAAGCAATTTAAATCTTCTTTGTTATTTTTCCAACATAAAAGGGGGAGCCATGGCCCTGGGTCGTAGTGAGAGCTACGTGGGTCATGGCCGTGGGACACATAAACACGGGTGAGGAAGTGGCTTCAGGGCTGGGCCCCGGTGGCCGCAGGGACTTGTGTGGCCAGGGTGTTGGGGGCGGGGATGACGGGTGATCCAGCAATGTTAGCCATGGGCTGTGTGGAGGACATTGAGGTGATGCCTAGGAAAGGAAGAAGGATCATTATTCACCCGGAAAATGCACAATTACAGAAAGGAGGGAGATCAAAGAACGGGCATCACGATGGGCTGGATCTTACACCACAAGTAAAAATATTCATAATCACAAAGTTCAAGCCAGCTAGAATAATACAGGTGTTTTCAAAATATTCCATAGTTATAATATACAATCAGCACACATCTTCGTACACACGCATGCTGTTAGGTTGCTTCAATTTGTTTCAACTGAACTTTTCTATTTTCAAAAGGAAAAAGTGTGAAGCTGTCCAGGTGCCATTCTGAGAAAAGTAAATATGAGCAACTCCTGCAGAGCATGCCTTAAACGCACCTGCAGCTGATATTATTATGTACCAAAGTTACCTGATGCAATCTATAAGAAATGTTGCCACATTACTAATCAGAAAATCACAGCTCTAAACGGTGATGTACTTTATTAATGTTTTTTTAACACCAGTGCATAACTTTAACTGCAGCCACTGTCAGCAGGTGCGCCTTCAAAAAAACAAAAACAAAAAAAAAGTCAACAAAGTCACACCTCTACTTTACAGTAAAGGGCTAATTGTAGATATCTAACAGAGGTCATCTATCTTCTAGATAATTCTTTGCAAAAGCATCGTGCAGCTAGCAAGACTGTTGTCTGTAAGTGCATGCCACTTTGAACAAGATTACTCACCGGCCATCATACTTGAGGAGCTGACTGGAGTGGAGCTGGCAGCCATCCCTCCAGGAGTGGCCCCCCTTCCCTGATCTTTTACGATGGGATCTGAGAACAAACATGTATGTAAGCAACCACAAAATGTTTAAAAAAAAAAAAAAAAAAAAAAAAAAAAAAAAAGCAATACATGCAGAGACAGGAAATACAAGACTTACAGAAGTAAGGATGATCCATGGCCTCTCTGGCCGTGAGGCGGGCTTGATGGTCGTAACGCAGCAGTTTGTCAAGGAAGTCTAGAGCCTCTGTACTGACTAGGTGCTGGTTCTCGCTGTGCACAAACCTTTCCCACCTTTTGCGGGAATGCCTAGAGGCAAACAATTGGCCATTGAGACTTAGTCATA